GAAAGCAACTTGTTTATTCTCAGACTGACCTTAAACTGAAGTGTAATAACCAACCTCACTGTGAGCTGTACAGTCCAAATATTACATTGACATGTGGTAAGTACTTGGAAGATTAATATTGGGGTGGAAAAAAATAAGTTATCTTTTAACTCTTGTTATGGTTAATAATTCTTAACATATAAAAAAACCTGAGCTGACGCATTGAGCTGCAGAGGCTGGCATCATGGTAGAGTACCCCCAACGAAAAAAAATAAATCCAAACACCTTACACAGAATTATAAAATAAAGCACCATATTCTTCTTTACTGTCTGATATTGTTACTCTGGGATTCAATCCAATAATGTTCAAACCATTTATCCTAGTTACACGCAGGGAACGCAATAGGTAAATTAATGTAACTGGAGTCTGAACACAGTAACCTGGCAAATCACAGCTGTCCCTACTTCTTCTTTTGCCTTATAGGGGGGGAAACCCCAAACCCTTTTCTACACAGCTTTATTACATTTTTACACTTTGCAGTGAATGCCTAATTTCCTGCCAAGACACTTATTTTTAGTTCTACATGATGACTGTTCTATCAATATTTAAAAAAAGCAACAATCCCCGATCCAGAGTGGTGTGTGCTGCCTGCTCATGCTAACCAGTGGCAGTCTCACTCTCAGCTTTAGCAGATTTTGCATCCTTACACCATCAACATGCATGGTGGTTTCTTTCTGAAAGCTCACACCTGTACACAAATTACTTTGCACCCCTGACCCTACTGAAAATAAAATAATTTGCTTCCAATGGATGAAAATATGGACATACCAAGATACGCTTTTACTACCAGGAAAATCACGTCTGTGGCATGGCCTTTAGGTGCATGATTTTCCAGAAAATGTTTACACCTGTTGCTTTTTTGTCAGGAAAATTCTTTAACTCATGATTACATTCAGTATCATTTCAGTTTCAAGCAATTTTGTAGTATACAATTTTTTAAAAAACAAATACTTTATCCTTTAATTTTGCTTTTATCACTTAGAAGTTCTTCTTGCATTCATGTAAAGCCATCACCACCTGATATCATACACACAAAAAACCTGGCCTGTCCAACCCGCCTCAGCAGGTCTGCGCCCCGTGGCACAGGCGATGCTGGCCAGGGCGAGGGCAGGAGGACCAGAAGAGGAAGAGCCAGGCTGCTTCCTGCCACAGGTGTCACACAACAGGAGCTGCACCCCCTATTTACATGCCAAGTCTGAGCAGATCTCTCCAGAGAGATTACAAGAGCTCAGGTCAAGCTGACCTCAACCTTGCTAGCAAGGAGGAGCTGTGCTTAATCCCCAACAAATTCAGTACTAAACAAAGTGTGAGTTAACCTGTATTATTTCACAGTACGTGCTAGTGTCCTCCCGTTTTTGAGGGGAAATGGTTGTGGGGGAGGAAGGCTTGGAAGGTGATGGTATGAGTAATCTAATGCTTTCAATGTATGTTGTTAAATACCTAGAGGAAGCACATTCCCAAAATAGGAGAAGATTTATGCCAACAAACAAGGTAAAGTGGGTCCATCCAATGTCAACCTGTGCACTTGCCAGTTCCCCTGCTGCACTACACATTGGCCCCCTGACTATTTCTTAACAGACTTTTACCTAACCTTGCAGTGCTCTGACTGGATGTCACTCCCATTAAAGTGTGGAGGAAAGCCAGCTGTAGCCTTTGGCAATTCTCAAGCTAAGGTTTAGGTACCCTGATGCCTCTCCTTCCGAGAGGCAATGGTGCAGTGAGCCTTGTACACTTGCACTAAGGTCCAACTTCACAGCCAATTTGAAGGAGGAGCATTTTACCCAGCCACCTGAATTCAGGCTCCTACTGCTGAGAGACAAGCCAGCTGTGCTGAACATGAAGGAAACAGCACCCAAGGAATTGAGAGAAATTTGAGCCATGACATGAGAGGGCCTGCAGCTAAATATTTGTGCAAGCACTCCACTGAACTTGTGCTGGCTCCTTGCCTCCACCTTGTGCAAGCAGGGCTGTAATAAAACCTCATGTTGTAATTCCTGAGAACCAAGAGAAAATGCTGATCTGAGACCTAGAAACTGATAGATAGCTACAGGCAGACCATCCTACTGCTTTATGGGAGACAGGCTATGCAGAAGTACTTCTATGAACTAGTGTTAAATAACTACAGCATTTCCAACAGCTTAGCATCTTGCAGACTCACAATGCAGACCTCCAAATCTTCCTTTCAGCTCACCAGCACTCTTCCTCCCCAAACCCAGCTCACAACTGCAGCCTCAGCTCACTCATCTGGGGCTATTTCCTTCAACACAATCACAGCTACCAGCAGCTTTAAATTTTATAATAGCAGTAATACAAAATTAGCACTGGATTAATTTCTCTTGTTCAAAGTTTCTCCAATGCCCCCAGCTTTCAGACCAAGGTGAGCTTTTGATACATAGTTATGACAAACCTTTCAGGAGGAGGAAGATAATCATATGCCACCTGGGTTACTGCGGAATTCAATTTACTTTGCAGCATGCTTTATGCTGGTCTGTAGCTATTAAAGGGAGAGACACTTCCCAGTTGAGGAGTGTGCAGCAATGCACAGCTAAACTGCTTTCTCGGGGTTCCCTCGTGCCATCGAGCCCCCCGCACTCCTGCACCAGGAACAGCCGCCTCGCGCACTGCCCTGGGGCGTCCTACCCCGCAGCCGCCTGCCCACCTCCCAGGGTAACATGCTTACAAGCAGAGACAGCTTGCAGGAATGTATTATTGGATATTGGCTCATCTTTGTTCCACAAACTTCAGCCCACTTGTAAACACACTAAACCACTTTCTCTTCTCTAGCTAGGGAGAACTTCCCTGTTGCTTCTCCCCACCTGCCACAAATCTGCCCCCAGATTGGTTCAGGACCAGACATAATTTAGGAGAATATGATTCTCAGGCAAAGAAATATGGAAAGAAGTCCCTCTTGGCTTTGTTTTGGTTTGTTTTATTGTTTTTTTTTTTTTTTTTGGTTGGTTGGTTGGTCGGGTTTTATTTTCCTTCTCAATAGGACAACTGTCTGTCTTAAAATTAGCTGCACCATTCCTCCCTAAAATAGTTTTCAGCCTGTAGCAACCAGTGAATAATTTTCTCAAGCTATGCTAGAAAGACAGCATACTCAGTCTTAAGTATCCACATGTGTTGCAAGACAACCAGAAACAAAGATTTTTTTTAAAAGCATGAGATAAAGCATAAAATAAAGATGAGAAAGTAAGAAAATAGGTACTGGAAAGTACTGCACCTCTGGTGCATCATTGCATTCCTACCTGGGAAGCTGCAAAGCCACGACCTCCACGCTGCAAACAGGCTGCTTCCCATCAAAATAGAGCAGGTTGACCTTTGGGGGATTATAATTATATTATTAATTATAAAATTAGAAGGATTACCATCTAAAGCAGATATCTAATTTAGAAAAAGACCTGTTATCTGAACAGTTTCATTCATAGATAAATATGTGTCTGTCAGATACAGGTTTCCCACACAGCTGAGAACACATGGAACACCTGCATTCACTCATGAATAGGTATCAACCAGAAAGTTATATTTAGCTTAAACTGAAAGTTCGAGTTCATAGTATCTGTAATGTTATTACAGAATATTTTCCTGAATAGTTAAAAGAAATAAAGAAAATGCATTCCCTATTTATAAGGAGCCAGTTTAAATAGTTTTAATTTTTTTTTTTTTTTTTAGAAAAACAGATGAAACACACTAAGCACTGAAAAGTGACAGCAAAAGGACTAGTACTGAAGGTTGACTGGTGATTTTGGAATTAAATCTAGAGACTACCCTTCAGGAGGGCTATTGTTCACACACTCACACAACCCCACCCCCCTCAGTTTTGTGTTCTAAATTTAAGGACAAAGTATCAAAATGTGTCTCAACAATTTCTCCAATGTTACAAACTTTTTCAATAATAGTCAAATAAAACATTCCTTTGTCTAGGTTATATAGTTCTCTGAGAAATTAAAACCTCTCCGAACTAGCAACTACAAACTTTCCAGCTAACATTTACACTTGTTTTATTAGCACAGAACTTACAGCCATTCATTGCAAGGGGAAAAAAAAAAGTCAGCAACACCAAATAATTTGCTTACCATTAGTTACCATCAGCATTTTTATTACATTAGAACTTCAACATTTACCAGAATACTGGGTCAGGGAAGAGCAAAAGGGAGAATAACTTAAAAAAAAAAAGAAAGAAAAAAGCAGCCTTGCTGGGAACTAATGTTTAGAAAAATTAACCAACAGCAGAGTAGGAGCTTCCTGAAATAAGTTTTGTAGCATTTAAGTTATCTACAGAAGGACATGATGAATTCTGGTAGTCTCATAAAAGTTTTCAGTGTTGTTGAACAGTCCTTCAAAGTGAACATCATGAGAAAAACAAGCAACCATTTTTTATGTTTATTTATCTATTTCCCTTTTCTCCAGAACCATGACTGTCCAGAAAACTTCTTACTATGACTTCTCAGATTCTCAGACCTTGCAAAGGTCAAGGTCAACTCTTCCTGTAAAAAGGCACACACCATTCTAGAACTCAATTTTGCACAGATGATTAGTTGACAAAGACTATGCCAAAATCCCAAAGTTTAAATTATTATGTTTTAAGAAAGGGTAGACTTTTTCTACTGATCACTTCTTGCTATTAAGCATAACAATCCAGACAATTCCGTTCCAAAATTTCCCAATACACTGATCATTAGAAAGTCTGTTGTGGAAAGATTCCCCATATACTTGTCATGTTTGTTATCCCCTCCCTAGCCACCTGCATCTGGCTAAGGGAAATCCAAGTATCCCAACATGACAATTTTATCTCAGTATCCAAAAAGCAAGTTTTAATTGATAAGCCAGTAGTGGTAAATAAATAAAGCCATAGTTACTACATAATTCATCCCCAACTCCCACACTACTAGAGGTCACAGTCTGAAAAACCTTAGCTGACCATAATCAAAAGAAAAATAGGAATATACATAAAACCAGCTGTCTTAGACAGCATTTTTATTAAAAATGGATACACAGAGACATAGCAGCATTTACAATAAAGGGTTCTTAAAAAGGCATCACGTTGTAAGCCAACCATTTGAAAAAGAGGCTTTGAAACGTTGTCTTCCACAGCACATTTTGCCCATTTGTCAACAGGGGACAGTATGACTACAGATTATCCAGAGGACAAACAGGCACAGTAACTAATCTAAACTTCAAGCCCTTTTTCTGAACAGTTGGTCACATCAAGCATCACCCTCCATAGCAGCATTTGGAGCACTCTTCAGTGTTCTTTTAAGTGGCTGGTGTACTTGATCCATTTCTTTAAAATATTTTAACATTCAATAAAAATATTTCAAATAGAAAAGTTCTTCTGTCACAAAAAAAAGTAAGGTTTCCTTTACAGATTCCATAAAAGCTTATGAAGTTCACTGGCAGCATTTCTGTAATGGAGCAGGAGTTAGAACCAGCAGAACAGGCACTTCGGCAAAATTGTCTGTCAACAGTTTCTAAAGTCATATTGGCTTCAGTCCAGAAGACTGTTTCTTACTACTTTGTGGTGGTGTAAGGACACCAGTGGGGAAAGGTGAAGTCCTATTTTGCTCAGCCAATATGGCTTGTTTTGCTTGAGCTTTGTCCTGAAAGCACAGGAAAAGGAGGAGAAGGAAAAAAAAAAAAAAAAAATCTTTACTTTGGTATATCTATGCAACATATCAATGCAATTCAGTGTTTTGTAACTTGATAGATTGCTAATCTGGAAATGCATATCTGTAACCCCCCCTAACAGGAACTGATAAAACATGCAATACAAACCCCAAGAGGTCAGTATTAACTTTTGGAATCTGATGATCACCATTACTGTACTTGTATCTTCAAGAAAGTAAAATTCAAAAGCAACTGAACAGGAAGAGCTTTAACTTCTACTACAACTGAATGACCTAAATAGACAAAACCACCAGTATCTTAGATTAACTACAATTTGTTGGACTAGATTTTGATCCTCTGCAAGTTTCTCATGCTAAAAACCAGTCTTGCTCAACTTCTTGTCAACCACCATTATCTCATAATAGTCCCACAGGATCAGTTTCAGGTGATCAGTCTATTTTCTGTTTTTTTTTTTATCAGACAAGGTTGTATTACCCATATTTCCTATAAAGGTCTAACATACAATATTTGAAGCATCCCAAAGGGTAGAAATAAGCTCCTGATTTCTAGGGTAATTATTTACTGTTTGAGATGAGAGGCTTAAGTCACAATCACCTTTTTAAACTAAATACTGAACAAGTCAGGTCTCTGTCCCGAAAATTCTGGAACTGGAGTACAACCTTATGCCTTTTATCGTCTGCATACACTCAATCTCAGTCTGATAATGCTTCACTTAAGTTTACTGTATGTTCAAACCAAAGAAACAAGAAGATACAGGAGATATTACAGACAGCTTTTGTCTTTATATGCATATACACACCAGCAAATCCAAGCTGTTTATGTGCGTCTGTATATTGTGCAAGTCTTCAGGAGCTATACCTCTGAAGTGTTTGAGTTTGGAGCTTCCTACTTCCCTTATAGCCATTGCAAATGGAACCATCCATTTTACACATTCCTCTATCTCACACCATTCATAACCTGGAAGACAAGACATATGCTCATCTGCATGAATGAAGACTTAACGTTTTTAAACACATTAGACTTAGGTTATAAATGCCAATACCTGAAACTTTCTGCATCAACTCAGATGAGGAGAAGTGATACAAAGCAGAAGCTGCAAGTACTCCATAGGTATATTCCAAGCAGCCAATATCCAGCACACAGAGATCCAAGAGCTACAAGACAACGGATGTTTAATAAGTCTAACACTTTTTTTTTTCCCAAGGTGAAATAGCATTTGAAGGAAGAAATCAGTCTTACCTCTGCTATTTGTACAAATATTTGCTGTGGATATTGTGGCAGCAATACCTCATAAAGCTCATTTAAATATGCAACTTGCATGTAAATGTTTAGCCATGATACAACTGTCAGTGGATTTAAGTTCCAGTTAAGAGCCTGAAAGAGTAGACATGCACAAGACATCAGTATTAATAAAGGATTCCTAACTTAAACCATGCAACTTCATTTACTCCAGATCAGAAGCTGTAATTCCAGTTTATCAAGGCATCTTTGAAACACACAAATCTAATCCTTTCCTGTACCTCCTCCTGCTGATAGAGTGGGGGAACGATTCATTTTGTTAATATGCACATACTGGTGGGATGCTTTAAATCACTTGTTACCTAGAGAACACTGTTTTCTAATTAGAAAGAGAAATTGTGTCTCTTAGCAGCACATAAGATTAACCGAGGCTCTCTGCTTTTAGTTTGATTATGCTATACATTTTTAAAAACTAAAGTAGAACTAATTCCACTTTGAAATATTACCTTCATGATGATCAATTCCATACTGAGGATTTCATCTTCTGTACAAGCTCCATCTGTAACATAGGCAAACTGGTGCAACTTTGGTGGATAAATTTCCTGAAAGATACGAGTTCAAGTATTAATTTGTGGAATAGGTTGTAACTAGTCTCATGTGCTTAAAAAAAAAAAAAAAAAAAAAAAAAAAAAAAAAAGGAAAAGAACAACCCACCATTACTTCAGCATTTCAAAACAGAGGGAAAAAGAAAAAAGAACCAAGCCCCCATCCTAACTCATGTTGTTCTACTCTGCCTTTCATATACACAGATTTCTTGTTCACCCTTCCTGCTCATAACCTTCACCTTCACTTTTGATGGACCAGTACAACATGTATTATATTTGACTACAGCACCACTGAGACAGTATCATAATTGATATCAAGATTTTTTTTTCATACATCCTCAAGGAAAGGCCTTTTATCCCTTGCTTAAAAACAGATTGAAGAATAGCCCTCTTAAAAGACAAACAGTAAGAAACTAAAAAGCACTATGGATTTTAATAGTTCAGTTTGTTCCAGTAAATAAAGAATAGCTCAGATTATCATACAGTAGGTACTTCACTGACAACAGAATTGCAACAAGTGGTCTGTGTATACAGCAGCCAGTCAAAAACTCATTTATCAACCACAATGAAAAACTCTGTATTTATTCCAACGCTGAAAAGACTATCCTTTTAATATTAAAGGGATATACTGTGATGTTGGCTAGTCTTAATTTCATTCATTAAAAAAAAAGGTATTTTGAAAAGAAAAAAAAGGATCTTTTTTGTCTCCCAGCTGAAAAGTCACAGCAAACTCCATAAAGTCTGCCAAAATGCATCTAGTATACAGCAAGTATGCTGTTTGTCCATTCAGATTTTTATGTTTAAGTAAAGCTGGAGACACTTACCTCAAGCTTTGCTGCTATGAATAAAGAAGAGATACCAATAAGCTGCAATAGTGTTTTTACAACATTCTGTTGTGTTGCCATAAACCGATCAAAGAAATCTTGTGCTAAATAAAAAGTTTCTCTATGAAGCTTGTAGACTTCACAAACCTGGAGAGACAGAGATTACAAAGGTCAGGAACAGTGTTATAGAGTCAAAAACAGATGCTACAGATGTATTAAAAAAAAAAGCAAGAGCTAGACCTAGAATTCATATTGTCTTTCTGCTTCACTGCTATTGTGAAGTAACATGTTAACTAAGAGCATGAGTTAAGCAGTTTCCTTTGACACAAGATGACTGCCACTACAGTAACTCCCAAAACAAAGAGATCAGAGTGAAAACCCTTTTAGGAAATGCAAGCACATGTTGTAACAATGTCAGAACATCAGTTCCTCATTTTAGCAAAGATGCATCATTCCAACACCTCAAAAGAGAAAATTCTCAGAAATACTTTAGAATAAAGAACAGAGACTATGCCACCAAGTCATCCAAACAGCAAAAAAGACTCAGAGTTGTAGTACATTCCACATGCCATTAACAGATAGAAAGGTTGAGATGTATTTGGTCTCTAAGCCACCACACCTCCCTTTTTACAGTAACTTACATAATCATTCATATAGCTTTTATCTGCAGTGTGACCTTAAAAAGCTTACATTGTGGAGCTTTAGGGACAAATTGTTTACTATCTATTATCAATCTAAATGACTATCAGCATATATTGTCAATTTGTACATCATCAACTCAATCCATTATATATTATTTTTTAAAGTTTGGTGCCACTGACAAACTGTAAGAAAGCTGAGTGTCTAGTGCTAATTGGGTTATGCAAAAATCATGAAATGTATTCATCATGGTTATTAGTACACATCAGCAAAAGCACACTTGAAATACAAGCACAAAAAAAAACTTACCTCCATTAGCCAGTCTAGAAGAATCGTTCTCATTTTAGGTTGCAGGAGAGGGTGCCTTTGCATATAAAGCTTATCCCTCACATATGTCTCTTCTTTGTTTATCAGATTTTTCCATACATCCTCTCTGTTAGCCCAGCTAAGACAGATCAATATGTTTAGTCTCAAATCATAAAACAAAAGGAAGACAGACAAACAGCAGCAAAATGGCACACTCACCCTAGAACTGGTAAAGGTGAAGCTCTAGTTGGAACAACACTTAGATGTATAAAGTGAGAGTAATCAACACCAACTGGATCATCATCTTTATCCGGAGTAGGAATCAGCATATGGACATTTTTGTGAACATTATTCCAGGACAGCTATTAAATGAAATATGAGATTTTACACTGTGCCTTTTAAAATAATCATTTTAGCTGTAAACAGAAGATAAGACATTGGCAAGAAACTATGATTACCTCTTTAAACTGCACAGAACCACTGAGATGGGAAGGGATCTCTGTAAGTCATTTTGTTCAATCCCCCCCTGCTCAAGCAGGGCCACCTAAAGGCAGTGGCCCAGGACAATGTCCAGATGGCTTTTTGAGTATCTCCAAGGATGGAGGTTCCACAACTTCTCTGGGCAACATGTGCAAGTGCTTGGTCATCCTCACACTAAAAAAAAAAAGTGTTTCCCGATGTTCAGAGGAAACCTCCTATGATTCAGTTTGTTTTCCTCTCCTCTTGTCCTATCACAGGGCACCACTGAAAAGAGCCTGGCTCCATCTTCTTTACAACCTTCCTTAAAGTATTTTTATACATTGATATAATCTCCCCAAGCCTTATTTTCTCCAGGCTAACAGTCACAGCTTCCTCAGCCTTTCCTGAATGGAGAGATGCTCTGGTCCCTTAATCATCTTAGTGGACCTTTGCTGGACTCTTTCCAGTATGTTCAAGTCTCTCTTGTACTGTGGAGCACAGAACTGGACACAGTACTCCAGGTGTGGCCTCACCAGTGGTGAGTAGAGGGATGCTGCGTATTTTCACAGTAGAGAAAGTTTGCAACTAAAGCCAGAGAACATTCACCCTCTTCTTTTGAAGGACCACAACTGTTTCATGGAAGAATATCCAAGTCAGAGTCTCCTATTGTCAAGTTGCATTTTGTTTTTACCAGATATTTTGCATGAAAGCAAGGTGCTTGACTCAAGGTAAAGAGTAAAGAACTTTAAAAACTCAATTTGTGATTAGAATTATACAAATATAAGGTCAGGATTTCTAGTAAGGAATATGTAGATGCAACACCTGAAGTTGTGGTTCCATGCAAAGCAACCTTGACAATGAACACAGCAAAACAGTATTTAATAGAATTTCTTAATCATTCACCTTGCAGTGCTAAGAGGGAAACCCAAAGCACTTATGATCCAACTTTTTTCAGAATAAAGCAAGTACATGTTGAGCAATTGCTGCTAAAGTATCAAGTTGACCATTTCATATCCAAGTTCTGCAAACATCAGACATCTGACACTTCACCTGTCAAATCCTTTTATTTGGACCAGAACTCTAGGTTTATTTTTCTCCTGGCTAACTCTGTTAAACAAGATCTTGGTGTACACTTCAGACAGTTCCACAGGAAAATACTACTTGTTTTATTTTGTGGTAGAATACAAAGCCAGCCCCACATCATCCATCATGCCTAAGCAAATTAAAATTTGGCATTTCTGCCTAACAGTGGAGTCATCCATCTTGCTGCAAACTGATTTGTTCTGCAGCACCAAAACAGAAATCCCTAACAAGATTCCTAATGTGCTTCAAGAAAGAAAAAAAAAAAAAAAATCAGAAGAATCATTAGGTGCTAACAAGTAAAGTGATCTACATTAAATTTTGTTTCTCGCAAAGAAGCTTCCACACCAGATTTTTATCCTGTCCTTGCTACAAATGACATCACTTTCCAGCAAAATGGCTACCCTCTAGCACCAGGTTTAGAAACAGAAACCACTGACTTGATGAAACAAAAAAAAAAAAAAAAAACCAACCAACATTTCACAGCTCACTCACAGATAAGACTGCTTTGTACTTTGAGTTACTGACACACAAATAGGTAGTCTTTCTTGGAGATCTAGATGCAAATCTAGCATAGCTACATAACCAGCCATGTCACAGTTTAATTTGGGGGGGGGGGGGGGGGGGGGAAGCAAGAAGAGGGAATAGTATCTTTATCTTAAAAATGACAGATTCCTTACAAACAAAGTTTGAATAAAAGTGTCGCATCAGCATTGTTTTAAGTTAATTTTTGTCCTCCCTCAAAACTAGACTTTAGTCACACTTCGTCCTCCAAGCTGCATGGCAAGCCCAGTTGCCAACAGCCTTTGGAGAAGTGCTGCCTTGTCAGTTAATCAGCAAACCAAGAGAAAAGCAGTACATTATATAATATCTCTTTAAAGGTGCCTACCACACCAGCTGCTTCTGCAGGACAAGGGATCTGCTCCACAGAGTTCTCAACCAAAGTAGATACCTGACATACTACACTGAAGCAACAACGACAACTGATTTAAGAGATTTTGCCACCCCTAATCTTCTACAAGGTAATCTAAATCAAGGGTCAGGAGCTTCTGTGTTTTTAGAAGTGAAAACAAGGTTTTTGACTAGGTAATATCACTTAGCAAGACAACAGGGGAAAAGATGCAAGCAACAGAAAAAGATATAGCTTAGCTAGAAACAAGAAGGAAACACACGTGCAGGGCCCTCAAAAGCATGAAACTATCAGGAAGGGAGACAGGAGTCTGAATTAGTGTAAGTGAGGGAACACTATAGCTCTGGCATGGATTTTGATTGAGGGAATAAACATATTAATAAGACTCCTAAATCTTTAAAGTAGATTTAGCAAGACATTCAACAAAAACTAAGAAACAATAGCAAGAAACTGCACTACATCACACTAACTGCAAGGAAATGGGAGCCACCCACTGAAAAAAGAAACAGTTCAAGTTGGGGAGGGTGTGAGGAAACCATGAAGAGCTTCCTTTGGGCTTGCACAGAGCAAAACCGAAAGCAGGGAACTGCCAAAAAGCAACAGATGTTACAGAGAATCTGTGCAGCCTAATGGAGGAAATCCTACTGTCCTGGGCTTGCTTCTGAGGCAAATAGGAGCAGAGTAGAATGCAAGCCAAAAATCAGTGGGGAAAACTGCCTCTTCAAATCTATATGGAGCCTAGCAAGAAAGCTTGGTGACACCCACAGTAACATTCCAGATACAGGAATAGAACATTTGATCAAAGATATACATCCATATCTCAGACCTGACAACTAAATACAGATTGGAGAAATGGAACTGAGGACATGAGAAGGCTTGTTAGGGGAAGGAGCACCAAGAAGGGCAGAAGGCAGGTGACCAGAGAAGTCCATCAGAGCAGTCAAGCCCCAAAAAAAGTCAGCTCCAAAAAAAGAAAACCCAGGAGTTCAGAGGTGGTTTGATTTTTTTTAAAGCTTAAATGCTCCCCACATCTCAGTTTTCTGTAGCATGCCATCATTCTCTGATACATCCAATGTTCACTTAAACATAATTTTTTTGGACATCCTTCAGGCATACAGGCCAGACACGAAGTAGAGCAGGTAGTGACCACTGGGGTTATTGTTTACAGGCAGAGCCTTCAGTGAAGCAGCCACACCTAGGACTAGAAGCTGAGCATGCATCTCAGTGTGAGCTGGGAGCCACCAGAACAAGTTTCCACAGACCAGGACAAGGAAGGCAGCAGCAAAGCAGAGGAAGAGGATGACCCAGAACTACATTCAGACAGCAAGGTCAGAGGATTTTCATCATGGAAATCAAAGGCAGAGGAACAAGCCTGTTTATCTCACCCTAAAAAGCAGCACATCATAAGACAGGCATTGATACCAACTGCTATACTGCAGCCTTAGTATGCTCATCAGAAACAGTAAGACCTATAATTCTAGCTATTTTTCACTCACAGGATGCATTGGTTTGAAGTACAGGGTTTTTCTTTGCCATCAGAAAGGGATTCCAGAATTAATAAATAGGACAGAGAATAGCAACTCCCATTATTAAGTTGTTCTGATTCTTTCCAAATAGCACAGAAGCTTCTACTACTTTTAGTTTTCTAAAGAGTCTGAATATTGCCCTGCCTCAGATTTGGGCCAAGTCAAGCTCTCAAACTGGATATAGTTTACATTCTTTATCTGTTTGTCTCAAGACTTGCAAGTTGTTTTTTTGTTTTGTTCTGTTTTTAAATTGGATTTTCCAAAGGTAACCTAGACTAGTTAAACAAACTTTTTGGAGGATATTTTCAAACCAGCTTGGTGGAACATTCTGACAACAGTAAGACCAGATTCTAGAAAAATGTCTAGCGAGGAATTGATCAAAACCATTTCCCAAGTCTGTTCCATCTTCTTTTAACTCAAAAACGTTAGTTTCATCTAAAGAAACCAACTTCTAGATTCAATTATTCACTCTAGATGGAGGTGGCCATGTAATTTGTATCACAATTGCATGGCTGACTCTAATCTAGTTAGATGAATTTTGTTTTACACGAAGCCTCGGAAGTGTATCCGTCCACAGAAAGCAGCCAGAATTAATATGAGAATTGCTAGCAGAATTACAGCAGGGACAGTTCTCTAAAATCAAACACAGAATTTATGCAATATTTTGCTGTCACAAACCTGATGATATTGCCACCCTTTCATCACATAAAGGGCAATGGCATCCTAATTAAGAACTCAGGCCTTATGTTCAACAGACGCAAACTAATGAATCGACTATGAAGATGCCGTAAAGTGGGATGTGACTACGATATTTTGCCCTGTGCATAAACTAGTGTCAGTAAACAATTTATTTAATGTAGAAGTCATGTGGTATAGGCTGCAGTGGATTTATAGCTACTTGCATTTTAGAATTGTTGTGCCTCAACAGAATAACTATCTCACTAGCTATCACACAAGCCTGCTATACTGCTGCTGGAACCGTAAACATATTCTCATTAGTGGCCCATGGCAATTTATATCGGAGAATAGCTTGTGTCACACCATAGACCGAAGAGCTGCTGCTGTGCAGCCAAATGTTAGCTTTTTTAAACAGCTCTGTAACAATCTGGCTACTTTGTCACAACAAAAAACCTTCTCTATGTAAGGATGGATACACAGGTATCCATTTTATTTACGGTTTACAGAATCAAACTGCCAGAGCCCACCAGTATCCTAAACTTAACTTGAATAATTCCCAAGTAATGCTTAGTGCCTAAATTATTTACATTTTAATTTACCAATCATTCCTGAAATAACACTGAATGACTACCAGGCCAGGAACACAAACAAGAACAAAAAATTGGAAGTCTTTATCTACTTTCAAAGTTGGAGGTCAAGGCATGCAAAATACGTTCCAAGTTTCTTTCCATTGTCTTTCTGAAGGAAGGTAAAATCATGTCCCTATTGAGGGTTTTTTAAAAATCTCTTACTATTATGTAATAAACATGCACAAGAAGTCCTTGCTCAGCTCAAACAGAATGAATGTTTTGGTGAAGGAGAGAGCTGTGGTAAAGGACAGGCAGCTCTTCCTTGTCAGAAGTGAGAAATTAGTTTAATATACTGCACAAAAGAAAGACAGAAGGGAAGGAGAGATCCCCTCATTAAATGCTCACCATTTGAGCCCTGCTTAATATGTTGACTGATAACTAGTATACGCAGTTGCAACAAGCAGAGGCCATTCCAAACAATGATGCCCATCTGTTATGGTAGCACTTTACTCTTAGAACTTCCAGCTGCCACTTCTGGTTAGATGTGCCACATTATGCATAGCCTTGTGTACCAAATGAGTACAGTCTGTACTCCCTGATCATGACTTTTGTTGCTTAAGTATCACACTGAATGTGCATTAGCAGGCTGAAGTCCTCGTGACAGTGACTGAGCAAGCATGTGTGTGCATGCTGAAAAAAAAAAGAGAGGAACAAACCTATTTCAGAAAATGGTCTACTCTGTTTTAGTTCAAGTGGGCGTCTCGACGTACAGAAGCGTGCTTTCAATACCATATACCAACATAGCATCCAATATAGATACCAATAGCATCTCAGGTTCAAAGATTACAGGATGGGCACTAAGGGAGAAAGAGGACAGACACTACTACAGTTAGTTTTGACTTTGGAACTCAGGTCTTACTGAGAAAGCTAGCAATGATCACTACTAACCTCCACTGCAGGTCTGACTTCAACAGCTAAGTGACTTTACAGAAATTATCTCTTTGCTTTGCAGAGAAGTGAAGCCTATTTTACTACTGCATTAGCATCCAGTATAAACTTCAAAGTTCTAATCAGGAACCTCATACTCTCTGTCGGTCTGATAATGATACTTGTCAATATGAATGGAGCTGATGGGGGAAGCAAAGGGGGATCTTTCCTCTCTCCCAGGTCATACACAAGTAGAGACACGACTGCAAAGAGAATCATCTTGAAAGATGATTCTGTTCATATGCTTAAGCGTTATGTGCTTTGGCCTGCAAGGTACAGCAGGTAAGCACGTGACTGTACTCCTGCAGCTCTCTAGAGGTCAATGCAGAGTCCCTCCAGGTAGGTCTAAAGGCATATTATGGCTTTTGTAAGGTGCACCCTTGCAATCCCAGGACAGTTGGATATACTGAAATCTTAACATAATGTTTTAGCCCAACACGGGCCTCATCTCTTGCAAAGACTCCAGAAGTGTTTTGCACTCTTCACCAGCCAGGGTTGATAGTCTCCCTTGCCCATTGCTATGCGGCATCTGGTAGCCATATATCTGTTGCACCATATTCGTAATAAGAATGAGGTACTGCAAAATAACAATAGGGTTAAGTAAGATTATGGGCGTATGATCTTAAGCCAAATCAGTTACCTGGTTTTCATGCTGCTTTTTTCTAGTCATCTCCATTTTGGCAATTTCTTCATCAGGGTCCTGTAAGAACTACAAAAGGGAATATGTAATTTCAGGGGTACAAACTTCAGGACAAGCAACTGCCGACAACCAGGACAGGCACCTGGTCCCTCAGGAGCCCAGCCCAGCAGCAGACCACCGCCCGCCCAGCACCCAGACCCCCGCATGGCCCCCAGCCACCCAACAAAAGGAGGTGACGGCCCGGAGGCCGAGCCCGGCGTCGGGGCAGGCCGGGGCCTGCGGACACCCAGGCAGGCCCGCACTCACCGTGGCCACATCGGCTTTCCGCTTGCGGGCTCGCATGGTGCACTCCGCACCCCCGTCCCCCTTGGCGGGAGCCTTCTCCTCCGCGCAGTCGCTGCCAAGAGAAGAGAAGCTGAGGGAGCTGCGGCCGCGGGGAGCCTCCTCCGGGGGGGAGGCTGGCGGAGCCCTCGGCCTACAGGGCCCGGCGCACGGCGGACTCACCTCTCCCGGCGCATGGTGCCCGCCTGGGCCGGGCCGGGCCGGGCCGAGCGCAGCGCCGTGCGGGGAGCGGGCGAGCAGGCCCGGGCCCCAGCCCCCACAAAGGGCCGCGGAAGCGCGGAAAGGGCGGCCGCAGCCCCGAGGCCGGGCACCCCGGGAGGCGGCAGGGGCGCCCGCCGCCCGCGCCCTCGCTCGCTCACCGCCGCCCCGAGCCCGCCCGGCCGAGAGCGGCGGCGGGGTAGGTGGGTGGACGTGTGGGTGGGTGCCCGGCCGGCACCGGCGGGGCGGGAGCGCGGGCGGGCTCCGCCGGGCGCCTCCTGCCTCACGGCGCGGCCGCTCCCGTCCCTGCGCGCGGCGCGGCCCGCGCCGAGCGGGACATTTAAACGCGGGGCGCGGGGCCGCCTCCCCGCCCGCACACGTGGGCCCCGCGCGCGGCGCCGGGGTCTGGCGCGCGGCCGGGGCGGGGTCTGCGGCGGGGGGGAGGGCGCGGCGCGGCGGGGCGCCGCCGGCCGCGCGGCGGAGCCTGGGGGGAGCGGCGCGGGGCGCCGCGGGGCGCGGGATCCCGCGCCGGGGGCGGCGGGGCGGGGCCGGGGCGGGGCCGGGGGCGGGGCCGCCGCCGCGGAAGCGGCAGAGGCAGCGCGCGCGCGGCCACTGCAGGTGGATTCGGCGGGGCTGGCGGGGGGGGTGAGCTGAGGGACCCGGCCCGACCCACCCGCGAGCGGGAATGGGCCCGGGCCCGGCCTCGGCCTCGGCCTGTCCGCGGCGGGAGGCGGGCTGCCGCCATGGCCGGCCCGGCCCTGATCTCCTCCCCGGTTCCCCCCCCCCCGCAGGATATGCGGTTTCCCGGGCTCTGCGGGCGGCTGAAGGCGGCGGTCGTCGCGGTGGTGCACGTAGGAGCGCTGCCAGGTAAGCGGCGGCCCCGGCGCTGCCCGCCACCCCCCCACCCCCCGTCGGCAGCCCGCGTCGCGCTCTCGTCGGCGTCCCCCGTTAGCCCTGCTGCGGCCCCCGGAGCAGAGCCCGCTCCCCGGCAAGCCTGCCACGTTAGCCGCCGCTGCGGGGCCCTCATGAGATGCCTCAGCTTTGGGCATCTCCCCTTTCTGGAGATAAAAGAGGCAGGAAACACTTCCACGCAGGGAGCTAGGCTGAGACAACAAGGGTTTGGTCTTGATGAACTCTCTACTGCCGCGCTGTAAGAGGCAATGGTTAGGAAATTACTCAAACGAGCGCCGGGACAGAATAGGTGTTGGATAGAGCTCTCTCGTGTAATGAGAGGCAACAAGAAGCTCAGGCAACAGGCAGGGTTTGTTCCACCCCGACCTCCCCATCCACCTTTGCAGGGGCTCAGAGCAAGCAGAGCTGATTACAGCAGCTGACCTTCCCCTCGGCAGGCTGGTGCCCGCAGCTCGCTGTGCTCCACATTTTCCCAGAAGCTGCCTGCTGGCACTGTGGCCGGCTTTCCCCATGCTGTGAAATCAGACCATCTAACAAAGTTGGCAAAGGGCTCTTCACAGTCCCCCTTTCAGACTCAGTGCCTGGCTGTAGGAGCTCAAGTATCAGAAAAGACTTTGGAGTTGATCTTTGGGGAAAGTCTTTGAACTCCAGCAAAATCCATGCATGTTCGTTTCTGCCATGAAGCACTCATACTGCAGATCAGACACAATCAACCTTGCAGGTTAGAGTTTAAGGTAGCTTTAACTAATTTTAAATTGGCTGGTGTTTAGCAACGGTATTCTGCAGACCTGGAGGTCACTTTTGCCATAGGTTGTATTGTGTGGAGCATCACTAATGCAAGATAAGCTATAATAAGGACAGAAATAACAAGCTGAGATCAGACCTGGTGCAGTAAGAGATTATAGCAGATATTCCTCAAGTCTGTGAATTAGATTCAGGAGTTGAATGGTTACAGCAGATTTGTCAAGTTCAGCTAAGGTAAGAGATGCCACTAGGGCATGTCACAGGGAGATACAGGAGTCTTTTAGCAAGTTTGCCCTGTTTCTCTGTATTCCAGTATGCTAGTCCCTATAGTTATCCTACCTGAAAGCTGTTACTGTATGTGGTTTTGGTTTGCACATGCCCTGGGGTAAGCAGCATTATTCTTGCAGGGACACCAAGAAGTTCTCTTCCATTGACCCAGATCATTGATCAAGCTTGTCAAGAGGCAGAAACTTACAAGGGTGCTGGAGTTGTAAGTTTTGGTTTCCTTCTTCCTATGGCAGCATTTACACAAAGCTGCTTCTGCATAGCTGATATTTTAAATTGAGTCTATAATTCCTCAAAAGATCTTAAAACACACGATTTAGGAAGATGCCTAAATTCACATCTTTTATTTCAAATAGTACATAGGCCTTCTAGATTACAAAACCTAAAATAAGAATCAAATCAATTTAAGGGAAAAACAAAAAAGGAAAACTGATTGCAACAGATGGTTGCTGGCATTCTAGATACCTGGCTGTAGAATGCTTCATCATCCAGCCTGACAAGCCACTGTATTTTTAGCTCAGTACAACGCTCTAGTTTCTTGACGTCATGGAGGAATGCCATGTGTACAGCTGAGGCACTGCTAGCATACGTCAGTCACTTATAGGGTGCATGATCGCCCCACATTTGTCTTTGGACCAAAACAGCGCAGATTATTCAGGGACCAAAAAAAAAATGAAAACCTTAGGCCCTTTTCTATCCTCTTTAACCCTTCTATCCTAGCCCCCTGGCAGCAAGCATGCCTGCTTTGCGCATCTAGAGGAGAAGGCCCAAAAAAGGCCAGTCTCAGCCGGAGGCAAGAAGAGGCAGCTACTACTGACTGTATTGCCGTTGGACATAAAGTGGTGTAGTAATCTTCATAGGTCAGTAGATTTTAACAGGGTGTATGTCCTTTTGAAAGGTCAGATATGTTTTAAACATTTCATTGCACCTTGTTGTCAGGTGTTGATATGCTTTTCCTTTGACCTGCCTACAGTATTATGTATATTTTCTGGCACAGTAAGGTGGTGTCCTAACGTCCAAGGTTTGAAAATGTCTTAAATGAACAAGCAGTCACTGCTGTGAGCTGCAAAACTTTAATAACAAGCCAGTTGAAACCTTTTAGTGGCATAAATTCAAGTGATACTTTACAGACTGAATAAAATTGCAAGTAAGAGTTTCGTCTAAAGTATAGAAGACCGAGGTCAAAATTCAAGACAGGTCACACAAAGTAGGTTATGGGCAGAGTGCTAGCAAGTCTAAATTAGGAAAGAATCCTGAGAACAGAATTGCTGAAAGGATAAACAGCAATGTGGAAGAATTATGTTTACATAGGCGGGCTTCAGTGCCTATGAACCAGATGAGCATGTGCAAGATGTCCACCCAGTTAGAATATTCTCTAATTGTAAGTTCTACAGAATGAGTAAGTGTTCTTCCTTTTCACGCTTCTTGAAGGAACAGGTGTGCAATAGCTCGGTATTCTATACTGTGACTTTATATTTTGTCTTTACGGTTACAGTATCAACATGAGGTATAACCTGATTTGATCTACATCAGAAGTGTGGCAAGTACTAGTATGTGTCTTCCTGTGTTAGAGGAAGTGTTTACACAAGTGATCTGTAACTGGTAAAGCCATTGCCCCACATTTCAGTGCTTGTTTATCTGTTTCCCCTACATGCTAATTACACACTGAAACTTTTACCAGCAGGGAGAAAATGCCAAGTGTACCTAAAGGTGAGGGAGAGTACAGAAATGGTTACTTTCACTGCTGACATGCACAAAGCTGCAACAGTTGTAAGACAAGCTTTAAAATCAGTACTAGGACAACATTTTAATTTGTTTTTTTATGCCTTCTCTTTTCAACAGTTGTAATAAATTCTGCTATTCCAGGTCTAACTGGTTTACCTTTTCTCCTATTACATTGCAGTCTCTGAACTTGAATATGTTTTTAAACCTACCTCTCAGGTAGACAGACAAGGTTAATGCAGTCATTTCTCTACACATTTGGACAAATTCAGGGCTTCAAGTTATGCTTAGTCTGTTTCATGTAGAAGTCATGAGTCTATCAGTATACATTCCACACTGATCTTCATTCTAGATGTCTATACACAATAGTGCTATATCAACATGACAAACAAATCCTTTATTAATATATCTGCCACAAAGGTCAGAGATAACCAGGAGAGCTTCCATAAATATCAGTATGGTTGCCTAACACTTTCTGCAATTCACTTGTTTAGTTTTTCCTGGTACTTTAAGAGAAATGCAAGTTTCCATACTAGATACTTCAGGAGCTTTCTGTCTTTTGCACAGAGGTCACCACTCTTCCACACTAACTCTCCTGCTTCTGTAGTGGGAATATATTTGGGTTTCCACCTCAGTACTCAGAGTGAACCATTAAGCTCTCTTGTTTTTCTTGTGGAAGAAGAACTAGAAACTGAAAGGTTTTTTCCATGGATGTTTCTACTGACAGTTATTTTCAAATGCTGCCTACAGTAGCCTTTAAGAAGATATGTAACCATCTTGCTGCTACTAGGTGTTTACATCTTGTCTCAAGTTGCTTGAAGTGGTGTTAACATTTAAATATAAAGTGTATGGTCTTACTCACCTGAAATGCATTGCACATGGAAGTAAATCCTAGTGTATTCAGAATGCTATACTTGTTTGGCACATTAGCAGCTTAACATAATAAATATAAAAGTTTTATGATATTAGAGCACAGTAATGAAAACGAGTGCTCAGATAGGAAGCCATCTGTGCTCAAAATGTATATGCTTTGTACTTGTGTGTTGCTAAACAGTGACATTCCCTAGACAAGGTTTTATAAGCAGCAAGCCATGAGGCATTATAATCCCTTCAATTTGTATCTGCTTTTGTTTAAGAAAAAGGCAAAATACCTATTCAGGTTAACTTTTATTCATTCTGTTCAGCCTGGGTGATGCTTACTTTGTAGCCACAGAATAGGGTGCAAATTCCCTGTAATTTCATTGATATAGATCACTTTACTACTAGTTACTCTTATGTAGCTGTAGCTACTTGAGTCTCTGACATTAAAGACAGTTAGAGATGCATAAGTAAAACTCTTTCTTTAAAAAAAAATAAATCCGCAAATTATAAGCTACATTGAGTTGCATATACTATGTTGCTTCTTGACACACAAAATCTTAGGTTTGCTTCTTTTAACAGTGCTGTCTCTGGAGATGCATTCATTGCTATTCTGATCCTCCTTCTGTCTCTCTACCTGGAAGGGGAGTGGTTAGGAGCTGGATTATATTGATGTTTTTAATAAATGAAAAGTTTTAAGTCTACTACTCATAACTACAACGATAGTTGGAATTCAAATTGCTTAGAGTTTAATAACAGTTAAGACAGAATAAACTAGTATTTCTACATAGAAACAAGTGGGTAGTTATCAATAATTATTGGATTACAGAGGTTAACCTTTCAACTCATAGGTATATTACAGTAGAATAAAATAGCAGACACACCTCACATGGTATATGCGGGAGAACATAAGATATCTACTTACCTATATTAAGGCAGTAAACTCTTGCTCAGGAGGTAGAGTTTCTAAAGGAATTGCTAGGAAGCTGTGCCTAGACACAGCCAATCAATGCTATAGAAAGGCACCTGATTTCCTTTGTAAGGTGCACTTGATGGTGGTGGTGGGAAAGGCTGTAATTGTGTTAGTGCATACTTGAGACTATATAATAATGGATATGGTACAAAACCCCCCTTTTCTCCTGTAGGGAAGACTAGTTGTTTTAAGTCTGCAAACGTTTGTATTAGTATGTATGCATTTGTAGGTAACACCTTTCTGTTAGGGGAAACACTAGGGTTAAAGTTGCTCTAGGTAAACTACATTAGGTAGATGCTGAGTTAAAGCTTGTATGATTGTTCTACCTGTTGTGGTTTATAGTGTTGTGACTATTTTTGAGTCTTTTCTGCTGTGATATGTGTGCATGTGGCTGAAGTGTTTTAAGAGGTCATTTCTATAAGTGGAATAAAGCTAAGAAAATTATTTTTCTATATAATCAGAGAGCTATTTAAATGACCTATTTTCCAGTAGCTAACTGTGATACAAGAGGCACTTCGCACATACGTAGCACTTCAGAAGTCATTCAAAATAAAAAGGAACTATATTGTTTGAGAATTACTTTTAATAAGGCTATTATACATAAACAACACTTAAATCATCTTAATATTCAATGGAAAAGGAACACAAAAGGTATTTGCTAGAGTTTTCTCTCGTACTATCCAAAGAAATTCTGCTTTGCAGGGTATAATACAGTAGCTGTTCCCATAGACTTCTAAACTATAAGCTTAAGTTCCAAGAACTTTAATTTAGCATAACTGTTTTCTTTCCACCATTTTAATTAGCTGTCTGATAGTACTGAAGTCTGGTTTATATACATATCAATTCAGTAAACACAGAAATCTGTGGTGTTATATTTTTGTATAAAATATGAAAGAAAGCTTTGAGTTAATGCATCTGTAATTCAGCTTTCTGTACTGCAGAACATATGTTGTTCTTTTTTAATTAAACAAAATATAATATGCAAAAGAACATAGTCTATCGGATGGTTCCAAAAGAATAACACAATATTAAAGTAATACCAAAAATATTCACTGTAACTGTGGACCTCAAGGCCAAAGGAAGAGACAACTGCTGAAAAGTGAATATAGTCAGTTTAAGGAAAAAGATAAATGTTAGTCCTCTCATATGCCTGCTTTTTGAACTAGGATTCAATCAGATGCTTTTTATGCACAGTAGTATGGCTAGATTTTTTAATTCATTTTTAAATGAATTAAATCATTAATGTATCTAATGGAATAATTTGCTTTATGCAAATCCTGAGCTGTCAAAGTAGTAGCAACTCACAGAAAGCTTGCTTTCATTGTGGAATTCCTGTGGAACTCTGCTAGCCCATTCTGCTTTTTTGGCTGCTAGCATGGCTCTTCAGGAGCTGAGCTTCTGAAGCCCCATTCCCAGGTGTCTTTTATAGAATACCAGGTTGAAAGGGACCTCCAGGATCACCTGGTCCAAGCTTTCTTGGCAAAAGCACAGTCTAGATGTAATGGTCCAGCACCCTGTCCAGTGGAATCTTATAAGTGTTCAATATTTGGGAATTCACCACTTCCCAGGGGGAGATTATTCCAATGACTGATTGTTCTTATTGTGAAAAATTTTCCTCTTTGCTTTCTTCCTGTGCATCCTATTGAGGTTGATTCTTGACTGCCTGAAAGCCTGGGGCTTCTGGTTTGCAGATCCTTGCTCTTTGCCCTTGCTGGGAAGCTTGGAGCTTCCCAGATATCCAGGTTTTTGTGAAGTCTGCCGATGAGAGCATTCTTGAGCCAAGGACCAAGGGCTTCCAGGTTTTGTAGCCTCAAGGAATTACTTGGTTTTGAGGGTTCATTGCATTTTTTGAGTTTTGTTTTGTTAAAATACTAAAGTTATACATTAATCCTTTTGCCACATACTACTACTGACCAACTTTGCATTCTTGCTTGGACTGACCTAATATGTTTCGAGAGGGCAAAGGGCTAAGGGATCTCTCTTTCTGTTGGTACCACAAAGGCTTCAGTAGTTGTGCCAGAGATACAGGACCATTTGTTCAGTTCAGGTTTATTGGAACAGTCCTGACCTCATTCTGAGAAACTGACTTAAAAGCTGGTGGTTTTGTTTTTTTTTTTTTTTAATTTCTGAAAATTCTGTGGGTTTTCTGAGGACTCGTTGTCATCTTTGTAATATGACTATCTCCCATCACAGCTAGAGAAGTGTGGATGTTAAATTATACATTGAATTAGATGTAGAAATAAAATCAAGGACAGATGTTTTTGTTAGTAGTCATATTTGATTTTCCTTTACTTAGTTGAGGTTTTCTTGGACTGGAATTCTGTAATGAAATATGCTGGTGAATGGCACCAAATAGTGAGTAGGACTAATGTTGGGTGCTCATAATAGTAGATCATTTTTTCCATTAATAGGTTGTGTCCCTTTGTTTTTAAAGTAGCATGTATTTTGTGTATTTAAATACTCAGCTGTAAGTCATTTGGTAAAGGCAGATGTACCCTGGTGCACTGAATGTATGTGGGTCATGTGCTTGGACTGATCATATTGTTCTACTGCATTATTTCCATCCTCAGTTTTCCTCATCCTCCATGTTAGGTGTTCATTTATGATGTCTGTATCTTAGCCTTTAATTCAGCCATTAAATGCTGACTGCATTTCATATACTGTCTTATCTTTTACTGCCAAAAGGGCTTCTACACTACAACAAAGATTAAGGAAGCTTTACATGTGGAAGTTTTTTAAAAAAGAAATCTTTTTTCCCCCTTCCTGATTGTCTACATTATTATTAACCAAACTTCTTTGTTTAATCTCTAGTTGTATTTTTTTTTCCCCAATTGTTCTTATTTCTATTCTGGTTCCGTCACAATATCTTTGAAATGTAAAGCTCTCATTTTAAAGGATTAAGATGTGTGATAAAGCTCAAGAGAGAATGGCATTTATTTTCTATATATACAATTAATTTTTCTATTAAACTTTTTGTATTTTTAGATTGAAGCAGGTGAGAAATTTCTAGCTTTTAACGTTCTCACTGCAAATGCAAAACATCAGGCTTGAAATATGTTTCAAGGCAGTACTTTTACTCTTATTATTAGTCCTTGACAAAATTATATATGAATTGCAGTTGTTGAAAACTTTCTGATATATACTATACAATGACTGGAAAAGTGCAAGGTACCAGATAATGTACAAAGGTTTTCAATAAGTCGTATAAATTACATCAGCAGAGTATTTTATCATCACTCCATTGTTTGCTAAGATTATGTCCATGTGGAGTGAGAAGTATAGTAGATAATAAATAGCAATATTCTGAATTTGGAATGGGAGAAATATCAGTAGCTAATACTATGGTATTAGGCACACTGCAAACAGGCACAATAATAGTCAAACAAAAAATTCCTTTATTTATCCAAAATAACACTTATTTTCTGACATTAATTGAATTGAAAATTGCTTTTATTATCTTTAAATCCTCTGTTATCCAAACATACTCAATATCCTATATTCCACTTGGATAATTGAAGTTTGACTTTGCACTATTTTTAATGGGGTATAAGATTTAACTCATTCGCATATAGTTCACATTTTAGGATGGATCAGAGGAAACCAAATTGATGAATGTATAATTAAAATCACATTTATTTATCTTCATGATTTCCCTGCAAATACCATGCTGTTGATGAAAGCTCTTTTATAAGTGGTTTTATGCATCAACACAATTTACAGTAGATAATCCTTCCTTTGAAGGAAAACCTTTAAACTCATGTGTCTTAATACAAAACAGCATAATGGTAAACTAGCCATGTTTTTTAAATTCATTTTTTTGCAGTTTAATCATATTTCTTTATAATCTCCACAGGATGGCTTAATAGTAGAAAACATGCATGATCTTCCTTACACGGTGTGTCCTGGGCCTGAAGTAACTGCAGCAATGACAGTCGTTAGTGCGGCAGTGAGACAGACCTGCCCCCATCTCACGCTGGGTGTCCAGATCCTGTGCGCTGCAAATCAACAGGCAATAGCAGTTGCTCTTGCTGCAGGTAACAGAAATGACTCATCAGTTATTACTGTTGTTTGCTATGGCATTTACTCTTTGCAAATTGTGCATTGTACTAACATAGATACCATGAAAAATGAGACATGAAAAGCTCACTGTACCCTGAAAAAGCAGAAATTAGATTTTGAGAAAGATGCCTTCTTGATTATAATAGATGATACTGGCTCACTGCTTCAGTTGGAGGCAGCTAAAAATCCCAAGGCCACTGCCGCAGCTTTCTAGGTGAAACCTGTCTAAATATAATGATTAGTTTAAACCTACTCATGTCAAAAAGCCACCTTTGGTGTAACTCTATTTACTTCAGTTAAATTATATTTGAGGATCAATTTAACCCACTGTGGTTAAGCATCCTGTTTCAGCATCTAATTATATGTTGTTGCTACTACTGTTATCCATTAAAACTAAGTTTTCATTGCCTTTTTTTAATGAATGGATGGAATGAAGCTTTTTATATAATAACAAAAAATTGAGTGTACAGCTAGACATACTACTTAAAATTAAATTGCATTTGGGGGAATTAAATATAAATTAATCTATCTTTATTGCATGAATCCTTCACTTGCTAACCTTCCTGCTCCTACTGCTTGCTGAAGCAATTTTAGTTTTTCGTGTGTAACATTTCATGATTTAAAGATGGAAGCTGGTTTAATATGTAAGACTTACACTTCCTAAATACTTCATAAATTGAAGGTTAATGCTGGTTTTTGCCTAAATTGCATATGTGATTACAGTAAGGTTGCACATTGTTGAATGCACAAATTTTATAAACGGGCAGAATTTCATAAGAATGCAAAGATGTTAATTGAAAACATACTTCAGGTAGAGTAATGTAGGCTAACTTACCTGCAGTGGCAGTTTTAATTATGTTGAATATATTCTAAAAGTCTTAAATTCCCTTTTTCTTGGGAGAATTCTTGTCAGTAGATATGTTTTGAGCAGATTGTTTTTGAGTGCCTTAAAATCAGAAGCTGCCATTTTCAAGGTATCTAGCTACTTGACAAACTGACACCTGATTTTTATTGCTGCAGTAGAACCTATATGAAAACCTGAAATAAAAATGCCAACATAATCCAGTTTTAGTTTTTAGGGATTATATTCATGTAGGATACTTGAAGTACATAGGCATTTGCAGAAATATTTACATATTTTTAGAACTTAACAGTCAAACTGTGAGTTATGCATCCTTCGAGGAGCAAAATTAATCACTAAATAAGAGGTATCGTGTGGGAACGATGTATTTCTCTTACTTCTCAGCAATTATTAATGAGGGAGAGAATTCCTCGAGGGTTTGGGTTTTGCTCAGTTCTACTACTGTTCTGCACTATTTGCTCTGTAACTGGAGAACACCAGCTAGGAAGGGCTTGTGTTTAATGCATTTCATTGCACTTCTCTAAAAATTATTGTCTCAAGTTCACTGAACAGGAAAAGCAAAACGAAAAGAAAATCACTTTAAGCAAAACCATAGCAAAGTGTGTCCTGCTTTGTAGGTAGCAAATCTTTGAGTAGTTTTTCTGTAGCAGCTTAGTAGTGACTTTAATATCAATACAATTTTAATAAGTGGCTATTAATAAAGCAATCCCTTTCTCGCTTTCACTACAAAAAAATACTTGCTGAAGGTGTTTTAGCTAAAAAGCATATATAGCATCTCCTGCTACTATGTAGTAATTTCCTTTTCCCTGTGGAAACTCCTATCTTTAGTAGAAATAACCATTCTGAAGAGAACTGCCCAGGGAAATCATAAATGGTCTCTAGGTGAAGGTAATGATTTTATTTTATAAAGGGGGAAACAAGTCAGCAGGTTTACAGTGTGACTAGAAGGAGCTCAACATCAACAACATGTGGTTATGCTAATAAATATGTTGTGGGTAGCCAAATAGTAACAGATTAAATTACTGAATTTTCCTAGCATTTTGACAAGGTATTGGATAAATCTGAAAATAACAGTAATAAATCAAGGGATGAGGCATCTGAAAAGGTTGAGAATTTTTATTTAATTTATTTTGGTTCTTTAGGAAACATTTATTTATTCAATTAGGTACCTAAGGGAAGGAATGACAGCAAAAGTGTGGTTGCACTGGGTATTTCAGCAAAGGTATGGGACAGTGGTAGGAAAATAGTGGGGGATCTTGAGGAAAAAGGGAACTGCTCTGTCTTCACTCTTCTGGCAGAAACAAACAGTTCCTAATGTTATCAAAAAACAACTATTGAGCCAAAACAGTTGTTGCAAACATCCTCCCAGCTCCAAAAGGTTATTGCAGAATGTTAGCCAGTGCTGAATGTTCTTGGTTCAGTGTAGGGACAGGTCCACCACAGCAGGTTGAAGGAGGTGGTTGCCCGAGGGCATCCATCCTGCAGGCCATGTCTTCCTCCTGCCATGGGCCTCGCTGCAGGGCTCGTGTTCCCCCTCCACCTGCCCCACAAACCTGCGTCACTGTGTCTGATCTTTTGCTTTCTTTGTTTTCTTTTGCTTTGATTTTTTTGACTTCAAAAAATGACCATGTTGAAATCTGCCAGATTTCCCTCTGTTCCTAAGGGCAGGTATGGAAATGTTAGTCCACTCAAAAATTAGTGTCGTTATATATACAAATAGTGGATGAGATTCATGTCACACCCTTCCTTAATATTGAAGTTTTCTGCTGTTCAATTTTTATACTCTTCTAATGTAGGCATTTTAATTTAAAGTACAGTGATGTCCCTAAGGAACTGTAGACCTCACAACATAGAGACAATAAAGAATAGTAGTTTTGTATTTATAGTTTTGACTGGAAGCCATCTTAATCTCAAATACTTATTCTCAGAAAAACAACCTACCTTAATAGTTCATTTTAATGACATCTTCCAAAGACTTTGTTCTCTTCCTTCTTTCCTAAAATGCTCTTTGTAGAGAAGTGAGTCAAAATTTGTTTGCTAGGGTTACTGTTCAGTTGGTTCATTATTAACAGGTGTACCATGTGTTTTTTAGAGGTGTATAATTTCCTGTTTGTAGTTTCTGATTTAATTAACTTCATCTTCTTGAAGTTGAAACAGAATGATGTATATAAACAGGTTCTATGAGCATTTGTAGAGGAGATAGAAATACAAATGCTTCCTTATTTATTTTTGTTTAGCAAATATTACTGGTTATCATTTTTCAGTGTTCAGGAAAGTCCACAATACATTCGCTAAGTCTGGGTCAGATTTAGGCATAGTGTTTGGTTTTTCCTTCCTTATTTATCAGTGTGTTTTGCTTCCTGAAGTTAACCATGTGTTAATTTCATGTACTTAAGTTGTTTGTTGTTGATCTACTTCCAAATTACATGGCTTTTCTTTTATAGAAAGTTTGCTAATTATTTGAAGCACTATAGATATTAGAGGGGACTGTTGTGTCTAAAGGAATTGCCTAAAAGCCCTCAACTGCTATTTGCGTTTTTTTCTCACATTAATGAGATGTTCTGCTTGGCTCTAATCTATCAGTGTAGGTATTTGCAGAGGAGATGCAGAGCCTTTATAATACAGGGAGTATATGCTGGTGATACTCCCTTTATTATTTTGCACATTCTTCATGCTCTCCGTTACCAACATGTATCAGTGACTGAGAAGAAATAAATAACTGGCCCATCATTAATCTAATAAAGAGAAAGTTAATGATGAGAAAAAGGATTTCAGGAGAGATTGCCATTGCGGAATATTGACCTGGCCATCTGCTGATCTTCGAGTCATAAAATAGTCCCCATAGCTGTATCTCTGTATGTTGTACAGGAACACTTCTGATATTCCAGGTACTCCTCCCTGATGTATCTTGACACCACAGGGTGGAAAGCCCAGGCGTATGGGCCAGAGGCAATTTATGCTCTTGTGTTCTGGCCAGAGCTTCAGTCTCGGTGCCTGGGAGCAAGGACTGTAGGGTCTACTGTTAAGTGCAGCTTCCCTACACCTGGATGAGCCTGTGTTACACTTATCATGAATCAGGGCTCAGTTTTTAGGTTTATCTTCTCTCACCTCATAAATTTAGAATGGAGGAATAGTTTAGTTGGAAGGGACTTAAAATAATCATCTAGTCCAACTGCCTCTCCACCTGACCGTGAAACTGCCCATTTTCCCTTTAAGGATCACATTATCAAAATCCCATTCTGAATTAGTCTTCGTCAATGATAATGACACAGTTGGTAGCTAATTAAGTGGGGCTTCATATCAGAAGATATCCCAGGTACTAAGATATCTCCATGTCTTTTATAAATACAGCTTTGCTGTCTGAGACCGTTTCTTCACCTCACCCATGAGCAGAGATATCTTCCACAGGAATTCACTTGCTCTATAGCCGATGGTACTGTTTAAGGTGGTATAGAATTGGGAATAATTGTATACTGCTTTTTTGTTATTCTTTCTAACTGCCAACATATTAATGCTGTGGTGGTGGGGAGGCAGCTAAACCGAGAACTGCAGCAGGGGTATTGCCTTGGGAGCATCTGCAAATCCTGTGGAGCAAGGCAGTGAGCACTGAGGGCTCTGCTGGAGGTGCTTTTCCCAGGCCTGCAATTCATGCTGAGAATGGAAGGAGCTGCTGCAAGACAGTGTCCCGAGTAGTGTAAGGTCTTCACAGCACGGAGATTGTATGCCTCTAGCATCAATAGAAGGTGAAGTCAATACTCCTCTGAGTTTTCATTTTCAGGACAAAATGAGTCATTCAAATTCTTTTTGAATTAGGAAGGCAAGAAGAGCTGGGAGCCAGGATTTACTGCGCATATAAAACAAGGTACCACCAGTAAAGTTACCTGCAGCATCTTGCCTTTGTGTAACAGCAAAGATGTTTGCTTGAAGTCCAAAATTCAGCATCAACCAGGAGCTGCTGCCTTGCAGAGGGCAGACCTCATTTCTGTGAAAGCAGTAAATCCTAGCTCCCAGCTTCTTCTGACTTTATAACTGAAGGAAGGAACATCCCTGAGAAAAGGCTTTGCAATGGTTGTATCCAATTCACTGTTCTGAGGTGTTAAAATGCAGTGATATGCACATTTGCAGCATTTAAGATGAATAAAGTAAAATTATTATTTCCTCCATCAACTCAGTCTTGCAGTGTTTTCTCACCCAGCAAAAGAAGTGTTTCAGTCTGTCATTTTTTTTCTTTTAATCATAAATTATCATGGTAAAGAAGGTAAAAAATAAAACTTTCCTCTACAATTGATAGACTTCCACATCTGTTTAGGTAAAACTGTTTAAGTAAGATTAAAGTAAGTGGAGTAACACTAACTTTTGAAAAAGAGACAAGGTCTAGTTCCTTGAGCAGGCCCTGCAGCTGCTGGTTGCTTGATTCCATGTTCTTAATATACTATTGAAGTTCTGTTTATTAGGTTTCACGGGAAGTTTCCTGTTCTTGTTTTGCAGTGAGATTACAAAATTTTTTTGTTCCCATAAGTCAGAAATGGGACTTCCTATTAACTATTCAACGGTTATTACTTTTCAACTTGCCAAATGTGAAAGTAAGCAATAGTATCATTCTTACAATTTTACGAGCATAAAAATGAATTCATTAGCGGAATCTGATTATGGCCTCATAAAACAGAAGGGTAATGATTTGGTGCCTGCACCTATTACACTTGGTTAAAATTTGTATTTTCATAGCCCCCAAAAACCCTGATATAGAGTGCAGCCTTGTTAAACTAAGTACAATCCTAACGTTTAGCAGAATGTCTTAAATTACTAAGTTAAGGAAACACAAACCAAGCATCAGCAAACAACATGCAGTCAGTGACAATGAATAGCCCTGGTCCTGAGTTAGACATTGTAATTGCTGTGAAAATGTAACATATCTCTAGACTCATTGATAGTCTTATGATTAGAGAAGTAATTTTTCTTATTTAACTCTGAATTGTCCTGTAAACTCGGGTAATTTAAATAGAAACTGTAGTTTTTGTTACTGGATGCAGAAATCTCAATCTAGCTTTGTTCTGTGTTTATTACTCAATGTCTACTAGCACCTGTAACTATACTCGTGGCACGCTATTGTCTTTGGATCCTGAGAATAGTCCATGCTTTTCAACCACTAATCTCAAGGCACAGGACAGCTTGCATTTGATTTGGCATCCATCTGTAATGTTTCTTCTTAGCTGGAGTCTGTGTTGCTAAGCAATACAGGCTCTTCTCAATCAGGCATAAGCTTCTGTTTCTGCAACTTCAGGGCTTTTGGAATGAAACTGAAATTTTAAAATAAACAGACACTTTGTCATTTGGTAAATACATTTTAAACATCATTTATGTTTATATTTGAAATGTGCTAAGGTGAGGCCTCTGTTGCCTAAGCAGTTCTCTGCTGGGTGGGATTGCATTTTTGATGGCTGCTTTCACATACATTGGCTTCATTGGTATGATGTCTGCTCTAATTAAACAGGCAGCTGACTCCAAAGTTGGAGCAGCAGTGGAGCTTGAGAAGGGCTTGGAAGAGACCTCTAAAGCAAACTGGAAAAACAGCAGAAGCTGCACAAGATGAGTGCAGAGTTTTTTACACGTATGTTAAGTGACAGGTGAAATAAACCTCAAGGCTATGAAGGATGGGAGAGAAGAGGGGAATACAATAAGGGATTCAGAATTCAATCTTGTGCCTCATGGCTGTGGAGTTATTACATCATGGCCCAAGGCTTCAGTGTTTCAACACAGAGATATTTCAAGACTGTGTAGGGGGTCCCTGAGAGTAGATGAATGACCTGTGTTAAGTCATTGCTATTCATAGTCTTCCTCTTAAGTATCCATCCCACAAAACTTTCCCAGTGAAAATAATGAATTAATGTGGTAGAAACCATGTTGCTAAGACATGGTTCAGTTGATGGTCAGAGTAAGTTCAGAGTAGAGTGGAAAATGTTTCACTCTTCTCAAACCTTATCTTTTTGTACCTTCGGCACAGCTCTAGAAATAATTTGTCGATGTGGTGCTGTGTTTTTCTACATTCAGATGGAGAATTAGACAGGTTGTACGTTATCTGTTGCAGGCTGTGTTTTCTTGCCTAATTTCCTAAAGAAAGAAGTCTTAATGCTATTCCTCTGTGTGTCTGTGTCCTTGTTGCTTTTTGATCTGGTGGCCAACTTCAGGCATATTTAACAGGAGAATAGATGTTGGAAAATAAGTAATACAATGAAAGAGTGTCTGGAAAAAGGTAAGAGACCCAAAGTAATGATCCTTTTTGGAGAGAAGACATATTGCTAGGACAAAGGAGCTGTGTTTTCACCTACCTGCTCCTCTGGCACATGCTCACTGGCACATCATGGCAGGAGGCAGGGCAGGGTGTGCAGCCGCCTGTTCTGAGCCACACAGAAACAAACTGTTGGGGACTGAGAAAGAGAAGGGAAGCATGGGGATAGGGGGAAAACTGGTGGGTTCTGTAGGAGAGACAGGAGTTGAAGTTAGTAAGATGGAAAGAAGTTGGAGAGAATATGGGTGAAAATAAAGAATGTAAAACTTAAATATGTGGAAAAGCAAGGTTGGTTAGTCCTAGAGCATGTGGAACAACTTGTGTTGGGATCAAATAAGAGGGACAGTAAGGTGGGGTTTTGTTTGTTTTTAGTATTTCTGTTTTTCAGACTTCAGCTTTAACTAAGATATTGCTATTTTTTTTTTTTTTTCAGGTCTTGATTTCATACGGGCTGAAGGATTTGTGTTTTCTCATGTTGCTGATGAAGGGATTATAAATGCCTGTGCAGGTAATCTGCTACGATACAGAAAACAAGTTGGAGCAGAGAACATTCAGATTTTCGCTGACATTAAAAAGAAACATAGGTAAATACAAGCAATATTTTATGTAAATATGAATGTAGTAATGATCTTATATTTTTCTCCACTTTCTGATTTTTTTTTTTTTTTTTAATGCCTATTTAGTGTCAGGAAGCTTGATGATATAGTGAGAACTTTATTGTTCAAGCAAGGTCTTGCAGTGCTATTAGGGGATATGTTTAAAAATAAATTTGCACCTGTAAGCTGCAGGTTGCTGCATCTGTGAAGTTTGCAGTTGTTTAACCTCCAATATGTATAAATGCAGACTGTAAAATTTTTTTATCTAATTTTAGGCGAGATTTTGTATACTTGTGTGCATGCCTATATGTGTAAAGAAATTTTGTTTCTGGAGGCTAGGCATCCAAGGTTATTTTTAGTTATGCAAGCAGTTGCCATATAAAAGCATCCAAATCATAATATTTTGGCATTTTAAAAAGCTATTCTCTTTTTTGTCTTTCCTGCCAATAATACTAGTTTCTTCTACTTAAATCAGTGCTGTCTATGTACAGATTTTGTTCTATGATTATCAAACAGAAGGAACTTATGACAGATGAATCCAGTTTCTTTTCGGCTGATACTTTATCATAACTGTCACATGGTACTTTCAGCTATTTAGATGTCACTCTTTGGAGTTTTTTTTCCCCAGAAGAACTGCTCAAGTGTTATGTATTATACATGCTAAATAACCTAATTAAAATGTTTGTGTGTAGTATGTGGGTAATAATGAGAATAACCAAGTCGGAAGATCTTAAATACCTAATAAACAGGTAATAAATTTCAAAATAGAAAGGAAACAATCCAGCATGGTCAAATGAAGCTTTTAAGATTCTTTCAGAGTGTTTTCTTTCTAATGATTTCTTTATATATGTATATAGTATGTATGTATAGAAATAAAAATACATTGCATTAGACTTTTTTGTAAAAAATTGAGTCGTGATTTTTTTTTTTTCTTGACAATGATGAATTGATATTTGGATTATACTTCCTGTTGTTCAAAGGGTTTGCTTTTTAAGAAAGGAAAAGAGGTTTTTGTTTCAGGCAGATTTATAATATAAGAAGGAAATGTTAAAGGACTTGTTGGTTGAGTTTTTTAATGTAGCAAAATGTGCCTGCTGCTGAGAGCTGCTAGCTTCCTGTTCTTTAAATGGGGAGAAACTATTTTTGCAGTCTGCTTGCTGTTTAGGGTGCCTACTACTCTTAAGCCCCATTTCAACCTCATTGCATCTATTAGGTACTTAGGCCTGCCTGTGTCCAACTGCAGAAAGGGAGTTAGCATACTTCCTTTTGCATCCATTGCTGTGAGTGGCACGCACTGCACTCTGAATATGGCCAGAACACAGCCCCCTCCAGGCCCGTTGTCCATCCAGGCTGATCCAGGAAGGAGGTTGGCTCCATCACCACTCATCAGTGCAACATGTTGGCCATAGCCATTGTTTTCTACTTAAATGGAAATCTAGAAACAACGATGTCAGGTGTTGAACCAGCAATGGCTGGAATTCTTTTGAAGTTTAGAGCCATTTAAATGAAAAGCTGCTATTGCTGTAGGTTTCACACAAAGTGCATCACCCATATGTTAAAGACTGCTGTTGAAAAGCTAGGTTGCAGGTAATTGATGTTTTTAACTGCTGTGTAAGGTGATTCCTGTGATTATATCATAGGTAATAACTATACTTTCTGTTAGTTGGACTTTGTGAAATGAAGTGGAGGGTGTTAATTCTGTTCTAGGCAAGAAAATCTGATTTATGAATGACTGCACATCCACAACTCCCACTTGAAGTCAGAGAGCTGCGTGTGCTCAACATTTCTGAAATACAGGTGCTCAACATGTAAGCAGCTGTCTCAATTGACACTTGGTAGTTCATACTTAGCAATCACTCTTCAGAGACAGGAGACCCAGAGCAATAGACGGATCAATTATGGTTCCCTGATGGAAAAGGTTGAGTTTTTTCCGCTTGCTCGTATTGTAATGTTACTTCCCAATTTAAAACAGGACACTTACCCTCTCTCACCAAGCCTGCCTTTGGTTGTTCTGACAGTGGGGAGGATGAAGATATGCAGTCTAAGCATTCAACAAGATGGATAACAAATGTGTGTGCCGACAGTAACCACAGGGTACATTCCTGCTGTTTACAGTGCTCACGCTCTGACGGCAGATGTCAGCGTGGCCGAGACCGCTTTGGCTGCTGAGCTCTTCCTGGCTGATGGGGTTGTACTGACTGGCACAGCTACTGGATTGCCTGCAGATCCTCAGGAGCTGAAAGGTGAGAGCTGTCATACGAAGGTCGGACAACAGGCAGTGAATCAGTTTCTGGATTAATGTGGAAAGAAATCTATATATCCACTGTTCCTTGGGGGAAAAAAAAAAAGGAAGGAAAAGAAACCTCACTATAGGGTTTTATTTGATACAGCAGAAGCAAAGTCATTGCGGTGCTATTCAGATTGATTGTCATATGTTTCTAAACAACAATTTGGCAAGACAAAAATGAAAATTATTTCAAGATTTTACAGTGCTGAATGATGCCGAGGCTTAAATTAAAAAAAGTATGTAAAATTATGTAAAAAAAAAATACCTCCATTTCTAAAAAGTTTTAATATAAGAAAAATCTACTTTATAGCCTTATTAGAAAACTAACTATAAATCTTTCCATTGAAGAGTTAAGCATTTTTGCCTTTCACAATAAAAATGGAAGTGCTGCAAGAAAAGGGGCATTTTGATAGGCAACATTCCAAACAGTAATACCAGAGAAAGTACTGCTTACAAGATTTTGAGAATGAATACAGGTTAATGGGTACATAGAAAGATATTACAGCAAAATAATTTTTAAATGGTGTGGACTTTTTATCAAGGGAATGTCATTTGACCTATGAGTTCTGTCCTTTGCAAGAGTGTTACGTGATTCTTCCTACTTTTATATCGGCATAAGTCTGGGTTGTCTTCTTTAAATTGGATTGCTTCCATGCTAGAATTAAGGTTCTATCATGGGGGCATTTCATTTTCATCACTAATTTTAATTTAGATTAATGGCTTGAATTTGAGTGTCTCACTACATAAAATAGAATGTGTTGGGGTTTTTAAGGTTTTACTTTTGCTGACATGCTTTAACTTAGCATGTTTTGAAGCTCCAGTGCAGAGTGTATTGTATTCAACTCACGTTAGCTGATCAGGGTGAAGAACATACTTTACTTGCTATAGTCACCTGGACCCCAAACATCTTTTGAAATAACATCAAGTAATTCAGTGTTTTCAGGGTTTTATCTATATCATATGTGCCTAACAGCATTTAAAAGGAATCCTGAACTTGTCAAAATGGGTTCTTATTACACACATATTAAACTTTTTGCCAAAAAATGTTAGAAATGACTGCTTCTATCACCAGTGTTAAAAAGAAAATGATGACTTGGTATGAACACTGAGATCTTGAATTATTTGAGTCTTTTAGTATAGTAAACTAGAAATTATACATGAAACAGGTGACCCTAAAAACTAGGCATATTTTAGTAACTGCAAAATTTCATTAATCTAAAGCTCCATCCCTGCCTGCAACTAATGTCCCCATCACTTCTAATGCAGATTGAGTAATGAAAAAAAAAAAAAAGATTTGATAAATCTTAGGGCAAAATCCTAGATTAAATTCTTCTTTCAGATATGCACGTGCAACCTCCATTGATTTCCTGCATCAGAGGGCAAAACCTGACCTCTAAGCCCACAGGTTTTTTTTTCTCACAGGACTCCAAGCAGACAGCACTATGGCTTCTGCTTTTCTTTCATGTGAACAAACATGTCAGTCTCTGTCTTGTTCTCTTTCTCTGTCCAAAGAACAAAATGAACCAGACTTAGCAGCTGAAATGAAGTACATACATTAATTTTGTGTTTCTATTTGCGCTATGGAAGCAAGAGTCTGCAGATCATGGGTATATTTTACTTAGGTCACAGCATTTTGGATGTTAGCATAATAACATCCTAATAAGATAGAAGAATAAGAAGAATATTGGCTTAAGACAGTTAAGAGAAGAACTTAAAAATCAATATTCCAGGATATAAGGAAATGACAAATTAGGCATATCTGTGTCAGCAGATTCTTAAAAGGAATCAGATCTACAGTCTACAAAGTTGTGTTGATGTGAGTGAAATTTTGCATTTCACGAATTTATGCAGCCCTGGAAGTGCTGTATTATGATGATACACACAATTGGGCACCTTTCATCACACTGCAAAGCATCTCTTGAAAGACAGATGAGATTTTTGTCATGTCTTTTTTTCAGCTTTATTGTACAGTAATATAGAAGTGTTTTTGCTTTTGTGTCTTTGTGTTGAATTGACTAATTTGTGATGGGGTGTGGGAAATGAGTGTTTCCCTGTCAAGCCATAGAACTCTGTTTGGTAGGGTTTTGTTTGTAATTTGTGTCACTGCCTTCTTGTAGGCAACCATCAGCATTGCTCCTCGCAGAGGCTGGCAGGCTTTGCTCCAGGGCTCCCTGGGCATACCAGGTCACCAGTGGTTGATGGAGTACAAGGTCTAAAAATCAGACTTCAGGTTGTTATGGAGCAGGAATTATAGCTGAGCATTTTGAATTACAATTATTTAATAAACCATATTTTCATTTAAGAGGTTATAGAATTTTCTTCCAGTTTGCCACACTGTGAAACATTCTTTGGTTGGAGAGTGAATCTATCAAGTTTTCTCTTTGGGTATAACTGCTGAAATACCCGCTTCACATCCAGGCTGTATTTTAAGTGACCAAAGCCTTATATAATGGCTACTTAGTTATCTGTGTGAACAAAGCAAATGGCCTCAGCTGAGTAACAAGTGGAAAATGTGTAATGAAACCCGACAGCTGGCTGTGACTGTCACCTCCTTAGTTATTGTTCATAAAAGGGGCATCAAGACTGATTCACCCTCTCACTTTTAGATGGTATGTTTAGGTCAAAATAGAGGCTGCTGCCTTCACAGTACCCTCAGAAATAAATGGGAGATGTGAGTCTCTTATCAGTACTTTTTGTAAATCCTAGATTTAATGACAGAGAAAAGGTCCTTTGAATTAAAAAACTAAAATGTGTTACAGTGGAACATTACCATAAACATAGTGTTGTGTACGGTACAGTGATTACTGCATATGAAAAAGCTGTTGAAGAGTAGTTGAGCAAGTTATTGGCACAGTAGTGCTTATTTTTGCACTGCTCTTTGCCATTGTTTTCAAGCTAGGAGCATTTGGCCTTTATTTCATGTAACTTGTGCATACCATAGTTCAAATGCTTTCATTGTGCTTTGCAACCAAGCACTATTTCTTTTGATTTTATTGAAGACATGTCTGCAGATGTACTGTCAGAAGAAAGAGCACAGTGCCCTCTAGTTACAGTTTATTGAAATAGAGAAATGTGCAAGTTGTGTAAACTTTAGGATCTTGTTACTGTAACATCACAAAATTGTCTCCTTTTCTCTTTGTGTCAAAAAAGATAAAATTGGAAGAAGAAAGCCAAGAAAGCTGAGAGATTTAAAGCAAAGATCTGTGTTTAAAGACATCTTGACAGTGACTGAACATTGCCATGCAAAAGCATATATCACTGCTGTTGCTTTAGTTTCTTTTACAAGTTAGAATTTATATTGAGACAGCTAATAGACAAGCCACCTTCTACCAATCAACTTGAGGCCTTGATGTGCTTGGAAATTACTTAAAAGTAGCATCTATAGCATACTTAATTAGGTAACCCAGTCTCATTGCAGACCAAGCACTCCCACTGTCGTTCTTCACATTGTCAAGCTGAATGTATCTCCAGCACAGGAGATGTGTGTGGACTGTATGTGTCATTTATGGATTGTGGCAGGAGTTGGTTACCTTGCTACTTTGGAAAGCTTTGGGGTTTCTTGTAGTTTCACAGCAGTCTCAGGTTTCACTGGTTTTTAATCTTTGCATAATAGGGCTAAACTATTGTCTTACACCCGTGTGATCATGCTCTATTTAATTATTTGGCTCTTCACTTTTCCTGCTGATGCGAAATAATTACAAAACAACTCCCTGCTAATGTGCTTTACACACTTGTTGTAAAAACAAATATTGACTTGGAACGCAGTTCCTCTGGGAATACAATAAAGTACTGTTGCGCAGATCTGCGGTCAGTCGTAGCACCTTAATTATGCATTGGTATCTATGTAAAGCAGATATGATATTTCTAAGAGTGTATAGATACTATATAAATAAGATTCTGATTTTTCTAGAATAGGATTTCAGTAATGCTATAAATAACTAAAAATTAATTATTTTGTTGCTGTAAGCAGGATGGCTATAAGAATATAAACTATGCAGAGAAATAACTATGGTTTTAATCATAGATGCATGATCCATCTGATTTGTTTAAAATTTTCCATAAGGACTGTGTGGAATGGTTTTATTTTTGTGTTAAAATGTTTGTAAGAAAAATGGTAGGGCATGTGACCTAAAAAGAGATTCAAGAGCATTTTAATTGATCCCCTTTCTTTGGTGAAGTAGGAAGGTGATACATAATTAGTCTTCCCTGAAGCATAATTAATAAGTTAGTCTTCTGATGAAACTTCATTTTAACAAACAGTGTTTTGAAGCAGACTTTTATATGTTGCATATATGCTTTCCCTAGTTAGTTCAAGCTCTAACCATCTTACATCAGCTTATCACCAATTAAAGCAATTTATGTGTTTTTAAAGGTCAGAAATAATGCCTTACAACATTTCTCTAAGTAAGGGATAAAGCATCCAGTCTTATGAGTGACTCTTAGGATGGTCAGTTTGAAATGAAAGGATGAGAAGGATGCTTAGTAATTCTTGAACAGGGATTTTTAATTTTATTTTTTTCCAGAGCTAGTATTGACCCAAGTTCTGCAGAAAATACTCTGGTAACCTTTTATTTATCCATGGGGAACCTTTTAATGGTCAAAACAACCATCCTCTTTTGTTTTTATTCTAAAAAATGTGAACTATGGTAACTGAGCCATAGATGAGCTTCTCCACAGGCAGGTCTGTCAGAATGCATGCATTTCACAGTGAATGTGATCACCTGAACCATGGACTGAAATCCACTCCTGTGCATGAGGGATGAAGCCGATCTGTAATATTTTGAGCCCTGTCTTGGTGTTTTGTCCATTTTTCCTTTTGGAACCAGGTAAAGGGTCAGATAATTAAGTAACACATACTGTATATAGAAAAAATAATTGGCTTTTTTGTTCCATTGCCATTCCTAGAAAGATAAGTGGTCTTTATCAGTACTATCTTTTGCTTTCTGGTAAACTAGCTGGATCTATCAATATAGCCTATATGACCACCACTTGCTTTCCTACTTCCAAGTCCCTGAAATCCATCATGAAGCAGAGATCATGTTCCTTTTCCATTCCCTGTGAATAAGGCCCCTCTTGTTTCTTTGCTGAAGATCTTCTAGTGGTTGTCAACAAAACATAAATTCAGCAAGGAGACCTGATAGAAATACACAAGAGTCCAACTACCACTATTGTGATTTAAATTGATGACTGAAGAATTGTCATGAGCACAGCTCTACTGAATAGTTCTGCCACTGTAACCATCTCACCAGACTTGCAAAAAAGAATCTGAGCTTCCAATTAAAGGAACTAAGAATGGCATCTTATTCTTGTGTCTCTGTTTTGATTACTTCATGGAAAGATTGGGGGAGGTGATTATATACATCTTAAGGTGAGGGAAATCGAGAACATAGTTAGGTGGCAGCCCACATGGTGACCATCAGTAAATCCTTTTCAAGGCAATGGACCTGGTTTGCCTGGAATCTATACAGGGTGCTACTGCAACACAGTAGTAAACGATAGCTCCTTTCCATGTATGTGTAGTACCTCAAACACAACAGAGCCTCTAAGCATGATGGTAACAGTCATGGTAAGTAAAACGGTCTGGTCCTGCTGTGCAAAAGCTTCCTGCATCTACCATATTTCCTTAACAGGGGTGTGGAATAAAAGTGGATTTGAGGGAATGTAGTAAAATGCAGAACATTCTCTGCTAGTCAGTTCAACTTAATCTTGCTTAAATCATGTTCCTTGAGAATAAAGAGGGGTACAGGTATGGTACCAAGACCCAACTTTCATATCTTCTGTAGCACTGAAACCATCCTCTGATATGCGGTCAGGAATATTCTTCTGTGGCATTTCATAAAACAAAATGCAAAAATTCAATAAAGGTGAGATTTTTCTTAACAGCTGTTCAGAGCTAAAGGTGTTTTTTTTTCTAGAGAAGTTGTTTCATTCTATACTAGAAGTAAGAAGTACTGTGATCATGGGTTTCTTGGTGTTCACCTTTTTTTATTGTTGAAAAACTGTGCAAATTAGAGTCTTGATAGATTTTCAAGGATGGGACTTAACCCTAATTTTGGTTTTCTTCTCTTCAGAGGTTAAACATGCTGTGAAGATCCCTGTGATGATTGGGTCTGGAGTGACCCTCGAGAATGTGAAGAATTACTTGGATGCAAATGCTCTAATAATTGGTTCGTATTTCAAGAAAGAAGGTTATTGGGCAAATGGTGTTGATCCTGACCGAGTAAAGAAATTTATGGAACACATAAGTAAACTGAGAGAATGAGTTTGTCAGCAAACAGTATTTTTTTGTGTGTGTAAGTGAAGTATCATATATAGTACAGAATTAAAGCACAAATGTGTGCTTGAATGGCTAATAACATTAAATGAAAACGCACATCATCTCCGTAGCTAGCTGGGAAACATGATGACACTTTACAATAAACTGGTGCTCTGATGTTTGTTCCTAGGCAGCACAGTTCTGTGGCACTCAAAGCTATCATCAATACAAAACCAACTCTCCAAAGACTTGTGTAATATCTTCTCTCCTATAAGTAAAATGCTTATGGAATTTAAGAATTTGTAGTAAATATTCATCACAGGTGAGCTGAGTTTTGTTTTGCCTATGAGTACAATAGGATGCCTGAAGTTTACAGCTAAGAGTATTGTAAATTGAACAAGTTAATTAGCCTTTCAGTTTTCCCATCTGTAAAATGATGATAATAGTACGTACATCACACAGGGGTCGTAAGACATAATAAATGAATGAATGTACAGCACTTTCATCTCAAATGAAGGGCTCTATTAAAGTTCAAGGTCATTATTTTTTCATTAGAATTGTGCATTTATTACAAAAATGTAGTAATTGTATACCATACAAAAATTTAAGATATTTGGGAAATTGATTTACATACAATACTTATTAGAGAACAAATGTAAATATTTAATTACATTTTAAGTAGAGTTGGAACTTAGTCAAAATATTTTTGCAAAAATTGGAAATTTTAATAAAGGTTTATTGTTATTTTTCAGCAAGCTCCTACAGCTTTGTACTTCTCCAAACTAGTATTTGTGCTGTTAAAAACTGCCAGGTTCCTTCCAATAAACAAAGTGTAATTATGATGGAAACCTTTCTACCAAAGCTGACAGGTAAACACAGATTTTCATTTTTCCTGTAAAATGTGGAAGAAAAATATGACAGTCTCACTGTGTATGTTGTAAGAGATTCCCCTTGAATTTGATCTTTTAGCTCTAAGGAAGTTTAAAATAACCCAAATAATATCTGTTATATCGTGGCTGTATAAAATGTGGGCATATGTTTTCACTCCTTGGGACTGGGAGCCAAGTTTGTCCTCTGGGATCTCTCTCTTTCATTGACATCTATGCATCAGGTTTCTGCTGATGCTAATGAAAGTTATATTGTAGATATCAAAGCAAGTATATAAACACATTTTTTGTGTCAGCTGGCAGAGTGCCCATTCTTTTCTGAACAAAAGATACATCCTCCTTCCAAAGGCAAAAAGATTTTCAAGAAATCTAGTTTCATTAACATAATGGAGATTCCAGAACATCACAGCATGAGATCAAGTCTTCTCACGTTTCTTTTTTCTGGACTAATCTGTCTCCCACATGATTCCTATCAAAGCAGTGAAATGTCTTTGGTGTGCTGACCTGGAAAAGAGATTCTTCAGACCCCGTGACAATCTTGGCATTCTTCTGCTTTTCTTCCTTTTCCTTCTAAATACACTGACAAAGTTTCAATGCATAAAAATCCTTTCAGGTACCTGTTTATTGTGGCTGGCACTACTTTTTCAAAGTCCACATTTACACAGGTGTTTTAATCTGCCATGCATTTGGAGCTCCATCAAAACCAGCAGTTCCGTCCCAACCACTTGTCCCCGCCATTTCTCTTGTGCCAGCAGGACCATTCATGTAGCCTCTTAGGAATCAGGAGACCGATTCTAGCTGAAAGCTAACCCAGTCTTGTACCAGCCACACTCGGGGTGTGGTCAGGGGGAAATTTAGGTCATCTTCCTCATTCTTTGCATCTGCAGCTCTAACTCCAAGATGCTGGCAGTGCAGAATTATTTGAGGATTGTGAAGATGCTTTCTGAATTTCTTCCACACATTCAGGCACTCAAAGCATATTTACCAGGTAAAGCATTGATCTGGTTTAGTCTTAAGTTCTTAGCCTGAGTAATGAGTTCCATTTTATGCCCTCTTTATTGTGAAAAACACCACATTAAATCAAAAATAATTAATTTATATATCAGTAATATCAGAGTGCTTAAATCAGAACGTATTTTTCACTTTTGTGTATTTAGGACTGCTTTCAGGCCTTTCACAAGTTGTACAGATTTCCATATATCATTGCACAGAAGAGTTAATAATAGTTGTCCCAACAGATATTTTCTAATGCAGTTACCAGCTTTGAAAGTTATCTTCAGTAAACCTGTAAGCTAGAAAGGCTGACATGTAAGCAGTAAGCGCTAGCCAGTGTTCTAGTGCTGTACGAAGAGTAAACATCTTCAAGTAGTCAGCTGAAAACTACAACTGATACACTGATAAGGACTGTTCAGTGATGATAACTCTGTTTAAAGAAACAGTACAGTTGCCAAATGTCACATTCATCACTGAGTGTGCAACTATAATGTGTTACAAGCATGTTTCTTAAATCGGTTTCTACTCAATCACATCCTAAATACTCAGAAGTGATTGGAACTTCGATAGGTTTTCAGCTGAATGAAAGGGGTGTTAAGTGAGAACTACTTCAGTGCTATATGCAAGGTCTAAATGAACTAATATCATATCCAGTAGTCTTTAAGACAAAAACCCTAATGAGTTGGTGCAATACTTGCAACGTGCAATGAATACTGTAGACAGCACTTTCACTGTCAGGATTTCATTTAACACACCACTGTGTAACACTTACAGAATGAACAGGCCATAATTTGGGTCTATATTGTTACATACAAATGGTAAGTGCAGAATTTAGGGAACAGAAGTAGAGGAAAGCTGATTTTTAAAGCATGGAAATCTGACTGATCACCAACTCTTTATCATTCTTTGTGCCGAAAGTATTTGTATAGCAGCATTAAGCATCTGCTTGCCTGTTTCACACAGATGCTGTAAGTAGAATTTGACCTTTTGTTCAGAAAGTGTTTGAATATTTAATGTAAAAATATTAAGTTATCGGATAGGCTGTCTCTTTTGGGAAGAGTGTTCAATTTTTATACAGCCCAAGTTGTTAAAATACTTTGGAGCATGAACAACTTCAGAGCAGAACAAAGCAGGCAGTGCTAATGTGTAGAAACTCCAGAAGTAAATAACAGCTGTTCAAGAAGACTTCTATTAAATATGTATTAATTAATTTGAAGTGCATCACTTAAATATGTGAAGAGATTATCTTGTGTTAATTTACATTAAAACATACAGCACTTGTTAGCCTCATTACAGTATCCTAAGTATATCCTAAGCTATCACCTCATCCTACATTGAGCTTTTTGTTGGGTGTTGATTGCTTTCGGTTTGCCCTTTTAAAATGTCAGATAGTGGCCTCCCTTTCTTGTTGGATCTCTTCTTTCTCTCAGGTTTTGCTCTTGCATAGTGACTGTACTTACTCATGTCCATTCTATGCTAAGCAGAAAAAACTTAAAAATAGATTATGAAAATATAACAGTAGTTGCTCACAGCTCAGTTCCCTGATGTCCCTACCTGAACTTCACCTGTGGTTCTTACTGTTAACTTATGAACCAGCAGAGAGAATGTAAGTGTCCATTTGTGTAGCAAAATGACTTTACATGAAGATTCAGTATCACCTTTAGTATGGGAAAGATACCTAGTAATATGAGGTTCTCTAGTGAAATTATAGGTAAATAAAACTCACTGGTAACAGTAGACTTTGTGGTCTAAACCAATATATAAATCTTAATAAACCTTCATTCCATTAATAAAACTTAAATATTTTTATCTGAATCTAGTAAGACAAAATGTTTTTTTACATATTTCAGTGCTGAAAATATGTAAGCTTGTAAGATTTACTGATGATTTGCGGAGATTTTCTTTCCTGTGCTGATCCAGCTGTGAGGCTGTCCTTTCATCCTATTACTTTGATTCTGTAGACTTCCTGACTACAAGTTGGAGTCCAGTTCTTGTTTTCTGCACCTATGCCAACAAACTCCTCACTGGGGGGAAAATTGAGGAATAGACAGGACTTGCAGGCAGGTCCTGGCAGAGCAGGAAGGGGGAAGGAAACTGAAATGTTTGGCTTTAGCAAAATCTCAAAGTCCATGACAAAGTGCTATGTTGCATGGTTCTCTTCAGAGAATTGCATGGAGAGGGGAATGTTTGCTGTAGTTTCAAGTTGTCTGCAGCCTCTTCAGTTAAAACTTTGTGAGTTCACACCTAGATTATGTTTCCAAGATCATCTCTGCTAGTATGTGTGCTTAGGGAGACATTTTTTCCTAAATGAAAGCTGAAGTTTTGCAGGATAATTATAGCAATAACAGGTGATATCTGTTGCAAAATCCAGGCTTGGAATTCACAGCTCCTTGATTTATGAGCAGATTTAGTTGTATGTATCTTCAAAAACAAACTGTTAAAATTTTGCATTACAAAATCTTCATTTATTTCCTGTACCTTTGCCCTAACATCCAGTCAGTGTTTGCTGTGCTGAGGAACTTTGAAATTTAGCTTCAGAACAGAACTGACTGTGGGTTTTTTTTTATTGCATATTTGCAGTGCTTATCCATGCAACCTAAATAATGTATTGTTTAGAAAGGGTGAAAGGGTGGAGAATTGGGCTGAGATATTCTTTCTGTGGGCTAACGTGCCATGGTGCATAGTAGAATTGACTATCCTCTCCACTCTGTGGTCCCAGCTGCAAAAACATCATCAGAACTTAAAATCTTTCAGAAACAGAGATGGATTCCTGCCTTAGATGTGTTGGGGAAACCTACCCAATTAGCTCCTTCCTTTTATAAGAAGCAGTGCTTGTACTGGGGTTTGCAAGAAATTGCTCATGTTGAGGCATTAAGGAACTTCTCTCCATTTTTTCCCCTTACTCTTAACCATTGTTCGACTCAGTGACAATGATTATTTGATCCTCTAAACAGTTATTTTAGGGATAAAAAGCCTATTTCTCTTAGGATGTTTGTTAAAGGCCTGTGTTAGGACTAATAACTTTGATCACATTGTTCTCATATGGTGACTGGTTAAGAATTTTCTATTGAAAATTCCATTCTTGGTCAATATTAGGTTCAAAATGTTGCATAGTTTCCTGACTGCATTCATATTCCTGATTTTGCCTGTCAAAAAGACTTTGACACTCACTCAGCCAGGACCAGACAGACCTCTTAAATACTTTCCTTGGATTATTCTTCAGCTGGCAAATTTACTACTTGCCTATGCACTATCTCGGACCGATGCCTTTGGGGCACTGAAGTATTCCAGCTTTCACAGATGACTCCCTTTCTCCCCTGTACTTTGCTCACAAACAGAAAACCATTGTTCCTTCCTGTCAGCCTCTGTGGGTCTGCAGCAAATAGAGGAAACAGAGGCAGCAGCTGAACTAAAAGTAAGGCCAGATGGTTTCTAGTGAAATGTTGAGAGTAATAGATGCTTTTTCACCCCAATCTTTAAATGCACAAATAGTTTTAGGGAGAAAAAAGTCTGCAATGCAAATAGGAAAGCCTTTCACATGAGGCAACAGGGTTACAATTCACAGCATAGTCTGTCTCTTTGCCTATAGTTTGAAGCTTTAGAAGTAGTAAAGGTAAGAAGAGCCTAAGATGTTTCTGGTTAAACACTTAAGGAAGAGATGTGTGAGGGTA